ACTGTTGCTTAACGCCACGGCACCATTTCTCAACCTTACGTTTCTTCATTCTTCCTCTTCCATTATTTAACCCCTTCTCTCTCCTTGATCTCTCTCTCTACACACACCCAATACACTCAAAAACAACAAAAACATGGGCTTCAAAGAGAGCGGACAGTGCCACCTCACCACCGTTCCAACCACCGTCACCTTTTCCGATGCCGAAATTCAGCCCCGTGCTTTGAGCCCATCATCCAACGTCAACCAAACCCTTTTGCTACTTCAATCCGATGAGGTGAATTCGAGAGTCCAGGCGGCGGCGGAGATCCGACGGCTTACTAAGACCTCGCAGCGCTACCGCCGTCATTTCTCCGGCGCCGTGAAGCCGCTTGTCGACATGCTCTTTGACGACTCTATTGAAGCCAAAGAGGCGGCCCTCGCTGCTCTTCTTAACCTCGCAGTCAAGGATGAAACGTAAGGAAAAGTCTATCTCTGCCTTTCGTGTACTTTCTTAGGTAGATTTCACTTGTAGACTCAAATTGCAGCGAGTCTTGGGGTCTGGAACTAGAGTCTTTGAATTGGAATCCGTTAAATAGTTTGATTATTAATTTCACACCCCCAAATATAATAATCTGGAGATTGGAAAATTGATTCTGGTTCTTGTAATCGATATCCTGAAAGATGTTTTCACTTTAAGAGGATTGGTCGTTGGTTTGTCTGATTTACTCTTCCAAATTTCTGAATTTGGAGACTGAAATGATGATTCTGGTGTCTCTTAATCGATACCCTGGAAAGATTTCGTTTTTATTGGATTTGTTATGGTTTGTCTAATTAACCTATTTGTTTTGGGGATTGGTTGGAAGGGGTTCACTTTCTTAGTTTCTTACTCTTTACTTTTTTATTTAATAGCCTTTTTCCTCGGATTCAGTGATTTGGGGAAAGAAAAATTCCACAGTAGCTGCTCGTTTCTTTCTGATTTTCTTGGTTGGTTCTTTAAAAAAGTAAAAGATATAGAAAAAGAAGAAAGAAATAGTGAATGAGTTTTGTGTTGTGGGGTTTTCAATGAAGTTGAGCTGGTTGAAGCATACGTATGGTGAGACCCACGATATTTAATGTTTATAAAACTTGATTTTTTTTTTTTTAATCTGAATTTTGATTTTTTTTTGCTGTATCCTTTAATTGAACATTGAATTAGTTTCCTGCAAGAGTTGCTTATGCGACAAGCGATATTGGCTCGGATTTACTGAATAATAATAATTGTTATGGTCAGAATTATGTTTCTTTATTTAACAGCCTGAAATTCAAATAAGTTTTGGAAACTTATAATGGGTTGGTGGTATATTCCCGAAGCCAAAGGAATGAAATGCTTTCTGTTGTGGATTGGGTAGGTTTAAAAACGGGGACTGGTCTTTTGTTCACATGTTGCTTTCAATTTCTTTTC